CTCTGGAAGAGCGGCCAGTGCTCTTAACCACTGAGCTATCTCTCCAGCCCAGGGGTTAAGATTTTAAATGTCAAAAGCAAACTTTTGGCTGGGATACGGGTGTAATGCAGAAAAACCTGGATTTGTTTCTCAGCACTAACTCCCTGCAAAATAGAACCTTTTTATTTGGAAGAAAATAAATGTTTCTGAACTCAGAATAGGGAAAGGTTTCTTATATTTGAGCCATATCCTGCGTGCAGAGGTATGGTACCTACAGTTCCTTCTACTAGGAGGCTGAGGCAGGGGGCTCACTTGACTTAAGTCTGGGCAACAAAGCTAGATCCCATCTCAAAATAAGATAAAATAAGAGCCTGGTAAATGATACTACTTTAGTAGCAAGAATTTGTCTTAAAGGAAGTGAGGGAAAATAATATTTACCAGAACATCATGCAGGTTAGAGTCAGGAGTTATGAAGAGGAATGAAACAATGACATTTGAAAAAAGACAGGTGAAACTAAATATTAGCAGAGTAGTTAATTCACCTGTGAAGATGTCAGAGTAAAACCATTTGTATACTGATTTAAAAGAAATTTTAAAGGAAGATTATAGAACACTGTAAAACAAACCAATTAGAAGCCAACACAATCCCACAGTATATGTGTGGGCAGTAAACACAAGGCAGGGGTTTGAACGAGTGAGGCAGGGCCAGGCAGCTCTTAACAGTTCCCAGGAGGAGTTTGACAGGACCTAGTATGAAGGAAGTACCTTCCATGTAGCACAGAAGGTAGCAAGAACCACTTATGTAGTATTCTCTCTAAGACCTAACAGCCAAACAACTGAACAGACTTGCCTGGTGGAGGAAGCTCAGCCATAACATTGAATAGAAGAAACAATAAGGTTAAAATAAAAAAAGTACTCAGTATGATTCAGCATGCAGATGCTCAAACAATACAGCCAGACCACCGCTGAGTATGCACACAGAGGTCCTTAAAGCTGCCAAGTATGATGAGGCCCCACCTTAGATGTCAGGACAGCAAGGGCTTCATTGGGGCATTCACCAGGGCTTCTGCATCCTGGTACCCTATATATACATGTGTGTGGTGCATGCAGGATGGGGTCCAGTGAGAGCAAACCCGATTAGGTGGATCTTGGATGTGGGTGGGGCTATCCACGTGCTGGGTCTGGGGGGCTTTTGGGAAGCAGCTTGTGTTGTGTGCTCTTGAGCCTCTGATAAGCTTTGCCTTGGAAAGAACTTGTTCCCTGAATGTTTTGGGGCATCTTTTTTTTTTTAAGATTTATTTTTATTTTATGTGCATTGGTGTCCATGTGTCTGTGTGAAGGTATCAGGTCCCCTGGCACTGGAGTTATAGACAGTTGTGAGCTGCCATGTGGGTGCTGGGAATTGAACCTGAGTCCTTTGGAAGAGCAGCCAGTGCTCTTAACCTCTGAACCATCTCTCCAGCCTGTTTAAGGAGTGAGATGCCTCTGCCTCTTTTCTTTTTGGTTTTTCAAGACAGGGTTTCTCTGTGTAGCCTTGGCTATCATAGAACTAACTCTGTAAACCAGGCTAGCATCAAACTCACAGAGATCTGCCTGCCTCTGCCTCCCAAGTGCTGAGGTTAGAGCATTCTTACTGCAAAGTAAGGAAAGGGACCTAGGATAGAGCCCAGACATGTTGGAGACAACTGGACAGAAGATAGTAGAGGTGTAGAAAGTTAGCTCCAGGGGAAACGAGTTTGGATTCTGGAGCTGAAATGGCACAGCCTTTCCCTGGCAGAGATTTGTTCTTTATCTGAACACAGGCCACAAAATGTACAGCACATAGCTGGGCAGCCGCAGGTATCTGGTTGAATGATTGGACCACAGGTTAAATACAAACATTCAAACCACTTGAAAACTATCATTTTAGGTTTCATTATAATTTCTGCTCCCCAAATCAGAGCTGGCATGGTGAGAATAAGAAATTATGCAGGAGTCTTTAAACAAAGAAAATACTCTTTCCATCATTTATATACAAATTGACCATCGTTGCCTGAGAAACGGGGCAAAGGGTGGTCCTTTTTTTTAAAGATTTATTTTTAAATAAATGCCCCCAGCGGATAGAAGAGCATATCCCTGGAGCTGGAGTTACAGGAAGTTGTGAACCACCCAGAATGGGTATTAGGAACCAAATGTGGGTCCTCTGGAAAAGCAGTTATGCATTTAATCACTGGACCGTCTCTCCATCCCCAAAGGGTGATCTTTTTCAGATTAGCTTCCAGTGTTTGTGGCTCAGAGCACAGAGCTGGCAGGTGGTTCAAGCTTGAAGGCCTTCATGTACAAAGGACATGCCTTCTTAGAGCGGAGGACTAGAATATTGTAATCTGTCTTGTAAGTTCTTATTTTGTGAATAGGTTTAAGACAGGCCAAAACCTCAACATTACACATGGGCTTAGCTGTTGCCTTTGATTCATTCCATTTGATGCAGGCTGTGGGCCATACCCAGCCTGCCCTTGGTCCTGTGTGACTGCTGAGCTAAGAGACTATGCACATTGAAGCAGTTGGGGAACAAATATTTTTGGACACACAAAAATTAGACAGACTTTGAATTTCATTCACAAGAACATCAGAGACATCAGCTGAGTCTATGTAGTCATGGGTCCCTGTGTGTCATTGAAGCAGGGTGCCAGATTGCCATAGACTATAGGGCCTAACAAAGCTTGTAGCACTTTCTGGTCAGTTACAAAGTTTTGTAATAGTTACAGAAGTGCTGGCTCCTGGCAACCTCATCCTTAAGCTTAGCAGCCTGCTCTTCTTAGCATCTCTTGTGGCACAAGGTCCCAGTCAAGTGGCATCTGCCTGTGACCCTAGTTGTGACTCTTCTGCATCCCCAGCCACAGTGACCAAAGTACCTTCCTGAGAGTCATAGGTGCTGTGGAGGCTGAGCCAGCTTGTGACTTCTTTCCCAGAACATATTTGTTGTTTTGAGTGAGTTCATGCTGTTGACCAAGACTGTGAGGTATGTATCACAGGAAGACCTGCTGCAGGACTGCCTGGAGTCCTGCCTCTTGTGTGGTATCTTTTGGCCTGATGCTGCCCAACAGTTCCAACCTCCTTCTGGGCAGCAGGCTATGACTTGAGTAGTGGCTTAGACAGAGCATCAGAATCTACATCAGTCCTTAGGAGCCTCTGGGATAGGGAGGTAGCAGTCCCTTAGCCCTTTGTTCAGGCAGAACAGTAACTGATGTCAGCTGCTCTTAGATGGTCCCATGAGAAGAGCTTTCCTTCAGTGATGCTTGGTCCACTCTGTCCTTCTACACTAAGCACTGCTTTTCCTACACTATCTTGGCTTTCCCCTGAACACAGTATCAAGTGACAGAAAGCACCAGAAGATACACAAGCCGCTTGGCCAGTGTCCTGAAAGTGGGACCACTCCTCCAAGCACAGAGACTTGACCTCAGACCTCACTGAGCCTCTCCAGTGAATTGTTAGCAAGAGTCAGAGGTTGGCGTGGTGGTTGCTAGACTGGGTTGAGGCTCTGTCCTGTGACAATTTGCCGTTTTGTTTCACCAGGTTCTGCTTGGACTCTGCTAGACAGAACCGACAAAGACTGTCCATCAACTGGTCCAACTTTAGCTTGAAGAAAGCCACCTTTGCTGCCCACTGAATGAGGACTGCCTGGAGAGGGATATATGGGAGGCAGCTGGGCTGCGCCACTCAAGAGCCAAGCCCTTCGGTGGCTCCCCAGAGCTTCGGTACCCACCCAGGGTGTGTAGGGTGGGATGCCGTGGCCTGAGACCCCCCAGACCGAGAACTTGCTGCTCGACCTGCGTTGTTAGCTTGTGTGCGTGTAGTCTGTGAGTGAGACTTCTTTGATTGTAGCTCTGTGCTGTCGGAATGGAACAGTAGTTCCCGCCAATTCCTCCACCACCACGGTCTCAGAGGCCTGGGCCGTGGCCAGAGACGAGTTTGCATCATCCACGTGGCTCTGTCGCCTCTGCATCTCGCCCTGTCCTGTCATCTGTCCCCGCCGGGGTGTCAGCCATCCCTCAGCTCCCATGTGCCCTGTGTCCCACCCAAGGCGGGCTGGGCGGGCAGGCCTCCTTTGTACTCTTTCACAATCTACTGTTTCCGAGTGTACACGTTGCGCTGTTTGTGTTTGACCCCCTGACTTGTAGCCAGCTTGTGTAAGACCCCTTGCAGAATGAGAACGTTAAAAACAAGAAACCCACCCAGTACTCACACCATCAAGTCTGTTCTAGAGCGTACAACCGTATTAACACGGAGGCCTGCCTGGCTACTTTTTTAACATATTGTTAAGTAATATTAAAATCATGTCTTTCTTTTTGAAAGATGGAATACATTAGTACAGCAGGAGACCCAGTCTGGTTGCTTTCTGCTGGGGACGATGGGTGTGGTGGGAGGTAACAAATGAGTGATATTTGTTCCCAGAGCGCCAAGGCTACCATCTCCAAAGTCACTTTATGATGTCCCTAGGTCTCAGGGTTCCTGGTGCCCTCAGTTGTCTTCTGGACACGAAGTTGGCACAGGTACCAGAACAGAGCAGTCAGCAGGACACAACAGTCAGCCAAATGATTAGGCTTCGTATGCTCATGCCAAGAAGTACCAGGAAGATTCAAGATGGGGTGATGGGTTATACCCAGGTCACTAGGACATGGAGTGGAGACAGCCTTTGTAGCATGGAACAGAGGGTTACCTATGGCCTTGTATGCAAGTGCCTGTCCACATTTTGGGGAGGAGAAGGGATCGTGGTCTGTAGTAAGATGATAAATAAAGGACGCTTAATTGGGTTTAAGTTAGGAACAAAGTCAATGGTATTGAAAAGAGAAAAAGGAGCCGGGCGGTGGTGGCGCACGCCTTTAATCCCAGCACTCGGGAGGCAGAGCCAGGCGGATCTCTGTGAGTTCGAGGCCAGCTTGGTCTCCAAAGCGAGTACCAGGAAAGGCGCAAAGCTACACAGAGAAACCCTGTCTCGAAAAACCAAAAAAAAAAAAAAAGAAAAGAGAAAAAGGAATCCTGGCTTGGTTAGTTCCATTTTTATTCCTTCAGGCAGTTAACAGCTCACACAGTTGCTTCTGGGTTGTCATCTAGTTTTCACTCACTTCAGCACACTACATGGATCATACTTTTCCAGCATTGAGGCATCCAGCGCCCAGGAGAAGATGACTAAGTGCTGAGGTGGGAAGATCATCAGGCCTAGAGTGACAATGACAAGCTGGTGAAAGCTAGTTGTGGGAGGGAGGGGACAGTAGGTCCTAGCCTTCTGGAGATTTTACACCAGAGAACAGGAAGTAAATCAGTACCCAGAGGAGGTGTGGAATAGGTTGCCTTCTTTTCTTTTGTTTTCCAGGTGAGAAAGCAGCACATCCCTGTGTTCCTGGGATAGTTCAACAAAGAAAAGCAGGCAGGGCTGTGACCTTGCATGAACAGTGTTCTTGAAAGGGCAAAGATTCTGGTTCTGTCCCCAGGGATACTGGTTTTGTCTCCTGGTTGAGGAAGTGGCTAGAGAGGCCTAACATTGGGCTTGCCTCCCAGGGGAGATCCCAGAAACTACCTCTCTGGCCCTCCACTTCTTCCATTGGAACCAAGCACCTACCAAGAGGAACCCAGGGTTTCCAGCTATAGCATCAGCAGGAATTGTTGGCACTATACTGATGATGGGAAAACCTGGGTGCCCCAACAGCAAGTACCATGTTGGAGCCCAGAGATACTCAGAATCCAGCCCTCAGCTCTTAAGCACTTATACATCCACAGTGGTATGCTTCAGGCCAGTTCCTCATGCTTCCTATCCATATGCCATTCACCACCAGGAATGAGCTTCCTGTTTCCCTGGAAACTTCAAGTTTCTTTGGCTCTGTCATCAAGGGTTTCTAACTTGACAGTTTGAGGAACAAAAAGTAGAAGATGAAGACTCTGGACTCAGTTGATGGAGAGGGGAGAGTAGGTGAGGGAATCCTGAGGGCAACTCTTTCATTGGCTGCAGAGGCTACTAGGATGCCTGCAGCTCAGCAGAGTGCTCATTCCACTTCTAGATGGGGAACCAAAGCCTAAAGTGTGCATTGGCCAAGGGAGGCTGAAGACTTCCTGCCAGAGCCTGTGGGCAGGCTCCAGGGGAGCTTCATGTTTCACTATTTCCATTACTCAATATAAACCTGAAATGAAATAAGGTAACAGCTGGAAAGAAATGCTAACTGGAAATTTTTTCATTGAAATTTATATACTGCCTTAGCTACTTTTCTATTGTTATAATAAGACACCATGACCAAGGTAACTTATAGAAAAATGTGTTTAATTTGGGGCTCACAGTTTCAGAGGGTTAGAGTCTGCGACTGTCATGGCAGGGAATATGGTAGTAGGCAGATAGGGGAATGGCGCTAGAGCTGAAGAGACACTAGGAATGTGCTAGTCTTTTGAAACCTCAAAGCCCTCCCCCATGACACACCTACCCAACAAGGCTATACCTCCTAATCCTCCGGGAATAGTTCTACCAACTGGGGACCAAGTACGCAAACATGAACAAATAGGTTCCCAAATAGGGGAACCATTCTCACCCATGCCACTGAAGAGAATAGAACACCAAAATACATTAGTGAAAAGGCATGGATCATTTCCTTTCCCCATTAAGTCCATCTTGCTTTTTGTATCTGCTGAGCAGGTGTAAGGCTTGTATTTAGATGGCAAGTCTCAGTATCTGCCCTTCATGGCTTGAGGCGATCCATTCTGAATGTATCTCCGAGTAGCAGTGGCACTGCTAACTTGGTATCTTTTGGTGTAAGTAGTTCTCTCTAAGACAAGGATTTTCTATGGTGAACATGTGACAAACTTCAAATCTAAGTAGCAACAAACTCTTCAGTGGCCCCTCCATTCCACAAAACATGACAGCAAATTTGTTTTCTAAAAGGATTTTTGTTTGAAGACAGGGTTTCTGTGTGTAGCCCTGGCTGTCCTGGAATTCATTCTGTAGATGAGGCTGGCCTCAAACTCACTGAGATCTACCTGCCTCTGCCACCCGAGGGTGTGTGCCACCACAGCCAGCTCATTTTTTAAAACTCATTCAAGGGGGTTGGGGAGCATGACACATAATGAAATTAGCAGCAACACCTACACATAGCCTACAAGGGTTTCATTGTTCTTTTGTTTAAGATTGAATACATTTCCAATGCCTGGGCTGATTTGAATATTTCCTGGGTTGGTACTATAAGAAGTTTAGACAGCATGCCTGGCAGTGCATTTGTGGCAGTGAGAAGGGGAAGCAGTCATGCTCACAATTTGTCTGTTTTAAACAGAAAGCCTTATAACTGGTCCCCAGATGTCAACTGAAAATGCCTTGGTTTCACTGTAGTCCCAGACTAACATTGTTCTGGATCCATCTCCATGGAGAATGTGGTATTGAGAGATGAATAAGAAATTTGGTTACTTGCTGGCACATGCTCTTACATACACTGAACAAGGGCCCTAGGAGGGACCAGGCTTACAGACTCCTCCTGCCATACAGTGTTTTCCATATGAGTAGCACATGACAGACAAGAAGCCTAGAGAGCCCTTGGAGGGCATGGTTTTTTCCTGAAGGAAGTTTCCAGATATCAGCACTGTAGAAAAACAAACAAGGAGTCCATGGATGGATAGAGGAAGAGAGGTACTGTGGCTGAGGTTCCGGAGATGAGACAAGCTAATGGCCACCAAGGCCTTTGGCTCAATCATTTGCATGTTACATGGATCCAAGCAGCGGGTCACCTGAAGACAGCAAGACTTTCTCAGCATTTCTCTTAAACAGGATGGGAAGACACTGTAATGTGAAGTCCCATGCAAAATGGTATATGGAAGACTGGTAACAAATGGTTAAACATTTTTCAAAGGTATGGACAGACCAAAAAAAAAATTAGTTGATAGCAGCAGGCAAGTCTCCAGTCAAACCACTGGAGGAAGTAGATGTTCTTTAGAGCAGCCAAGCAGGAAATTACTTGGTCTTACCTCACAGGCTGTTTGCATAGGATCCGTATTTGGGTGCACAGGCAACCATCCCTTTACTTTTGAGGAGTAAGTACAATATAGTTGCTTTCTGGGACTGGCCATTTGTTTTGGTTTTGGTTTTTTGGAGACAAGGTTTCTCTGTGTAGCCCTGGCTATTTTGCAACTCACTCTATAGACCAGGCTGGCCCCAAACTCAAGAAATCTGCCTGCCTCTGCCTCTGCCTCCCACGTGCTGGAATTAAAGGTATGTTCCACCATGCCTAGGTTTTAGAGACTGGTCATTTGTGAAAGGCACCATAGGTTATTACAGATGAAAGCTTGAGCATGGCCTGGTTGTTAAAGTGTAGGAATTTTGCTTTTGTTTTTGCCTTTTGCCCCTGCACTCAGGCCACCAGTGTGTCCTCAGAAGGGCATCACCCAATAGAGGGATGACGCTAGAAGAATAAGTTCTGAAACCAGACCACCTTAGAAGGGTCAAATCAGCCTTAGTGCCTACTCCCAAACATTTTCCATCTTAATAAGTAAAATTCAGTGTTGGCACCCAGTCAGATTTTCTCAGTCTATTCCAAAAGCAAGAAAGATGGAGCTTTAGGAGAAATTCCAATCTGAAGAAACCCAGAAGGGGTAGATGATGAGTTTACAGGCAAGAAGCTTAAGATGTCAGTTATAAGTCAGGCAAAGTGGCACACACCTTTAATCCCAGCACTCAGGAGGCAGAAACAGGTGGATCTCTGAGACAAGGCCAGCCTGGCCTACATAGTGAGTTTGAGGACAGCCAGGGCTTTGTACAGAGATCCTGTCTCAGAAAGAAAGGGGGGAGAGTTAATTATAAATCTAAAGTACACATAATGGCATATATTAAAACATTATGAAGGAAGAAAAAGATTAAACATGAAACTTCTAAAGAAAAACATACTATGAGATAGAAAATACTCTAGTTGGAGCTACCCACAGAAGACATTGGTGAATTAATGGCTTGTGTCTAAGCAGTTTAAAAATGGATGGCTGAGAGGAGAACTGAAGAGTAAAAGGAGCAGCCTGCAGTCTACAGTCTACAACGGCCTGCAGTGTTTGTGGAACTGGAGTGCTGGAAAAGGTAGGGCAGAAAAAGTACCTGAATCAGTAGCCAAAATGGTTCACATGTACATACATCTATACATCCTCACGTGCACTGGGAATGGAAGCCAAGATTTCATGCATGCAGGACAAGAACTGAAGCACCGGCATCATAGTCCTGAAGATGATCCAAATTTGTTGGAAACTGTTCAGTTCCACAGACCATTTTTTCATTGGGTTTTTGTTTTTAATGTTTACCTTTTTTAAAAAATTCTTGTTTTATTTATGGTTTGTGTGTTGTTTATTTTTCAGATGTGTCTCACTATGTAGTCCTGGCTGTCCTGGAACTTACTATGTACACCAGGCTGGCCTTGAACTCAGAGATATGCCTGCCTCTGCCTCCTGAGTTCTGGGGTCAAAAGCAAGTTCTGGATTAAAAGCATGTGCCACCACACCCACTATGTTTAGCTTTGTTAGTTCTTCGTATATTCTACACACTAATCCCCCATTGGATGAATAGCTGGCAGAGATTTTTCTCCCATTCTGTAGGCCATCTGTTTACTCCAGTTCCTTTAGTTTGATGAGATCCCATTTGTCAGTTCTTGGTCTTATTTCCTGTGAGATAGGAGTCTTCCTCAGAAAGTCCTTTCATGTGTGTATAAATTGTAGCACGTGCTGTACTTTCCCTCTAGCACTCTGAGACTATCAGGTCTTAGGCTGAGGTTTTTGATCCATTGGGAGTTTTGTGCATAGTGAGAGAGAAGGATCCAGTTTCATTTCTGTCTGTGCCTGACATTTTTTGGGCATCATTTTTAAGATGCTTATTTTCCTCTGATGTATAATCCAGGTTAACTGTAGTTGCATGGACTTATATAGGGGTCTTAAATTCTATTCCATTGATCTATGTGTGTGTGTTCATGCCAGTATCATGCTTTTTTTTTTAATTAATACAGCTCTAGTATACCTTGGAATCAGATGTGTAACTTGGAATCATGTGTAATGAAACCTTCTGCACTATTCTTTTCATTCAGGATTGTTTTGGCTCTCTCTGATTTGTGCCTCCATATAAATTTTTGGACCTTTAAGTGGGGTGGTCATTTTTCACAGTATTCTTCTGATCCATGAGTATGGGGGCTGTCTGTCTTCTAGTGTATTCCTTGATTTCTTTCTTCAGTGTCTTAAAACTTTCATTATAGAGGTCTTTAATTTCCTTGGCTTAATTTATTCCCAAATTGTGTGTGTCACTTTGCTGAACATAATTATCAACTCAAAGAATTTTTTGGTGGATTCTTTAGGACTTCTTATGTATAGAATGATATCATCTGCAAAAGGAGATACTTCTTTTCCTATTGGTATCCCTTCTCTTTTTGTATTATTCTAAGTCTTTAAGCATTATATGGAATAGAACTGGAAAGAATGGAAACTCTTGTCTTGTTCCTGATGCTTTGAGTTTTTCTCTATTTAGTATGATGTTGGCTATATGTTGTATATAGTCTTTATTAGATTGAGGTATGCTCCCTCCATGTCTAGCCTTTCCATGACTTAGATCTCGAAAGGATGTTGGATATTATAGCTGTAAGTTTTCTCTGGTCTTGCCCGACCTCTCGGTTTGCATTTGTCCAGTTGTGCCTGGCCCTCTGGTCCCTCAGCCACTTATAAAATAATCACTCAGAGGCTTAAAATTAATTGCAAAATATATGGCCTATGGCTCAGGCTTCTTACTAGCTAGCTATTATAACAACCCATTTCTATTAATCTCTAAGTTGCCACATGGCCATGGCTTATTGGTACTTTTACTCTTGCTTCTCCTGGCAGCCTCTGGTGTCTCCTTCCTCTCCTTTCTCCTCTCATTATCATCTCTTGGATTTTCCCGTCTGGCTCCATCCTTCTCTGCCATAGGCCAATGCAGCATTATTTATCAACCAATCAGAACAACACATATTCACAACATACAGAAAGACATCCCATAGCAGGATATTGTCAAAGGCTTTTTCTGTGTTTATCATGTGATTTCTGGTTTTGGGTGTGTTTTTGTTTTTGTTTTTTGTGGTTCATTTATGTTACGGATTACATTTATTGATTTATGTATGTTGAATCATCCCTGCATGATTAGAGTAGTCCAAATGGTCATGATAAGTGCTTTTCAGTGTGACGTTGAATTCAGTTCGCATTTTATTGAGGATTTCGTATTTACATTCATTAGAGAGATCAGTCTAATTTTCGTGTGTGTCTGTCATGTTTACCTGATTTTAGTATCAGAATACTGGTTTCATAAAAAGTTTGGAAGATGCCAGTCATAAATGGCACAATCCCAGCACTCTACTCAGGTAGAGACAGGCAGATCTCTGTGAGTTCGAGGCCAACCTAGTCTACACAGGAGTTCCAAGGACAGCCAGAACTACATAACAAGATCCTATCTCAAAAAAGAAAAGAAAAAGAAGAAAGAAATAAGTGTAGGTTCTTAGGGTCTATCCCCATTGTTTTCTGAATTTCACTGGTATCTGTTCTGATAACTTCCTTTCCACCTTTCAGTTCTATTAATTTGGATCTTCTCTTTTAGTTAATTTTTAAAGAGTTTGTCAATTCTATTTATCTTTCCAAGTACCCCTTTTTCGTTTCATTGATTCTTTGTAATTTTTTTAATTGTTTCTATTTCATTGGTTTCTGACCTGCTTTGGATGATTTCTCCCCCTCTATTCTTGTGGTTTGGTTTCTTCTTGTTTTTCTAAGGCTTTGAGGTATATCAGTTTACTTTCAGAGTTTTCGAAATGCTTTGATACAGATATTTACCACTATCAACTTCCACCCTAGGACCCTTTTCGTGTCCCATGGATTTTTTTAATTTCCTTCTTGATTTCAGTAGTGACCCATCATCATTCAATAGTGTATTATATAATTGCCATGAGATGTATATTTTCTATTGCTGTTGATACTTCGCTTTATTTGGTCAGATAAAATATAGGATGTTATTTGAATTTTCATACACTTGTTGAGACTTGCTTCGTGTCCTAATAGTTGATGAGTTTTGGGGAATGTTCTATAAACATCTGTTACAGCCATTGTATTTATGATGGCACTTAACTCATGCTTCTCTGTTTAGTTTTTGTGCAGATGACCGGTCTGCTGGTGAGAGTGAGGTATTGATGTCACCCACTATACTGTCTTAGGATTACTCTGTGGCTGTACATCTAATTGTGTTTTATGAAAGTATGTTTTCCTATACTTGGCACATACACACACACACACACACACACACACACACACACACACACACACACACACATACGTATGTATATATATGTGTGTGTAGACGGATGGATGGATGGATGGGAGGGAGGGACAGGATTACAATTTTTTTTTTGAGACAAGGTCTATATAGACCAGGCTAGCCTCCAATTCATATAGATCTGCTTGCCTCTGCCTCTTGAGTGCTAGGATTAAAGGGGTATGCTGATATGCCCAGCTATAATGTCCTCTTGATGGATTGTTCTATTGATGAGTATGAAGTGCCCTTCCTATCTCTTCTATTTTTGGTTTGAAGTCTATTTTGTCAGATACTAGGATAGCTATGCCAACTTGTTTCTTAGTTCCATTTGCTTGGAATACCTTTTCCTACCCTTTTACACTAAGGTGATGTCTGTCTTTGGTGGTAAGATGTATTTGTTGGAGGCAGCATAAAGATGAATCCTGTCTTCTAATCCAGCCTACTAATCCAATCTGTCTTTTTTATTGAAGAATTAAGACTACTAATATGCAGTTATTATTGAAAGTATAATGACTTCTGTCATTCTGTTGATTTCATGTTTTTGTTTTTGGGTTTCTCGAGACAGGGTTTCTCTGTGTAGCTTTGGAGCCTGTCCTGGAACTCACTCTGTAGCCCAGGCTGGCCTTGAACTCACAGAGATCTGCCTGCCTCTGCCTCCCAAGTGCTGGGATTAAAGGTGTGCACCACCACCGCCTGGCTGTTGATTTCATGTTTATCATTACCTCTTAAGAATATTTAGTCCTATGACACTTTTATTATTTTTATACTTCTCGAGTCCAAAATATTCCTTCCATTATCTTCTGTAGAGCTGCCCTAGTGGTCATAAATTATTTTAAACTTTTTAACATGGAAAGTTTTTTATATTTCCTTCAATTTTAATAGTTTTGCTGGATGTAATAATCTCATTTTACAGTTATGTTCTTTCAGAGCTGTATTTCAGAATACATTTTTTTTTTTAGGCCCTTCTGGCTTTAAAATGTCTGTTTGCAAAATAATCAGGTGTTATTCTGATGGGCCTGCCTTTATAAGTGGTTTGACCCTTGTCTTTTGCAGCTTGCAGTACCCTTTCTTTGACCTGTGTTTTTGTGTTCTAACTAAAATATACTGTCAGGAGCTTATTTTCTTATCCTGTTTGATATTCTGTAGGATTCTTGTATCTAGCTTGGCATCTTTCTCTAGATTTGAAAAATTCTATTTTATTGAAAATATTTTGTTTATGAAGCTTTAAGGCTTAGGCCTTAAGAGCACTAGCTTCTCTTTCAGATGACCAGGATTTGATCTCATTGTGACCCACAACTGTCTGTAATTCCAGTTCCAGGGCATCCAATGCCCTGTTCTGGCTTCTATGAGCACCGAGCACACACATGATACACAGAGATACAGGGAAAATACCCACACATAAAATAATTTTTAAAGAAAAAATATTATTTATATTTTTTATGGTTGTGTGCTATTCGATGCTCATAATTCAAAGATTTGGTGTTTTTATGGTGTCCCAAAGCTTTCACATATTCTGTTCACTTTTTAAAAAAATTCCTCATTGACTTTAACTGTTTGATCCTATCCTTATATATGTCTTCCAGCCCTAATACTCTGTTTCCTACATGATCCATTCTGTTGGTGAAGCTTTTAATTTGGCTTACTGGGTTTTTCATTTCCAGCATCATTTCAGCCTGTTTTTTCTTCAGCAGTTCTTTATATTGAAGTCAATGTTCATTTCTTAGAATGATTTAAATTATTTCAGTTAGCTCTTTGTATTCATTCTCTCGGAGTACATTCATGTATTCTTTAAGCTGTTTGAACATAGTTATAATTATTTTAAATTCTTTTGTCTGGAAGGAGCCAGTATGGAATTAATAATCTTTAAAAGGAAGACATATTATCTTGGTTTTTCATGTTGTTTTTGTTTCTGTGCTGGGACTTGCCCATCTGGAATTAATATGTTGGTTAAATTTTTATTTCTTTTGTATTATTGTTGTTTTTATATTCAAATCTCCTTTATATAGTCAGAGATGGCATTTACAGTGCTCAGGAGAGAACTGAGTTACAGTAAACTTGAGGTGTCATTTCCCTTTATGGGGTTGGTATTTAGGGCCAGAGGCTCTATCTCAAGTCTTCCTATTTGGATCAGCTATTTGTCCTGTGTCAGCTGGTGCCTCCTGCATGGCTCTTCAACTTTTGCTGTGAGTTCTGGAGTTCCCCAAGTGCCAATGGGCCTTACTCCCGATCAGCACCCTACGTTGGGTCTGAATCTTTCACTGAAGCTGTTTTAAGATATGGAACTTCCAGAGAACCTGTGGACCTAAACTGGAGTGAAATGTAGTCCCTCACCCTGAATTTGAAGTTTCTGACGATGCTGGAAATCTCACAAGCACCAATAAGCTTTACCTTGGTTCATGACTGATTTCCTCCCAGTCTTTAACAGTCCCAACACTGTTCCAAAGTCCAAGGTCTCTTCTGAGACTCAAGGTACTCTATGAACCCTTATAAATCAAAAGACTGGTTATAATATACTTCCAATATATGACACAGTATAAACATTCCCATTTCACACAGGAGGAGTGGGAAGACAGCAAGAAAATAACCATTCCAAAGCAAAATCAATTCTGTGACTCTGTCTCGAATCTGGAAATCAAGGTGGCATCAACTGGGCTCCTTGGGCATCCCTACCCCTCCAGCTCTGCTACCTGCAGCACATGTAGACACATACTTGGGCCAACTCCACTCCATGCCTGGTCTCCAATATGAGTTCTGCCACTTAATCCTGTGATCTTGGTGAAGTGACTTAGCCCCTTGGTGCCTCATCTTCTTCACCTGTTGTAGATGTAACCGTCTTATTAAAATAGAAACACAGAGCCAAATGCAGAGTTGAAAGCCCAAGAGGTCAGAGCAATAGCTAAGAGCTAAGAACCCTTTCTTACCCGTCACTGCTGCTGCTGTCCTTCCCCTCTGAAAGAGACCTACTTCCTGTGTCTGTCTTTTTATTGACTTTCTGTTCTGCCTTCTCATTGGTTGTAAACCCAACCACATGACCTCCTCGACACTGCCTGTCTATACAGACCTCCAGGTCTTCTACGGTTGGTATTGAGATTAAAGGCGTGTGTCTCCATGCTGGCTGTATCCTTGAACACACAGAGATCCGCATAGCTCTGCCTCCCAAGTGCTGAGATTAAAGGTGTGTGCCACCATCGCCCGGCTTCTGCTATGGCTTGCTATTAGCTCTGACCCCCAGGCAACTTTTTTTTATTAACAATCACATTTCAGTACAAATAAAATATCACCATAACCTGTGATGAGAATGATACTGCCTTCTAAAACTGTTACAAGGATGGAATTAATACATGGCAAACCCTTAGCACAGCACAGTCTTCTTTTAGCACACAGCTCCCCTCTTGTCCTATCACTTGACACACCATGACACAATCACATGCTGCCCTGGCTTAGCAGTCCTTATACATTGTCAGTATGGCCTGCCTCCTACTTCATACCTACACTTTCCTTTATGTCCTGGGGCAGGACTGAAGAGTCCCAAGGCAAAGCACTGGGCTAGTACCCAATCACTTAAGTGGCTCATAACATCACCCTATCCAATGACCTCTTGCCTGAATACTGTAACAATTCTGTAATTAAAAAAAAAAAAAAAAGTGAGCATCAGTAGAGTTCCAAACTCAAACTCAGCTTCTTGCTTCTGTCAAAGGATGACCAGTCCCTTGTTTCCCATTTCCCTCAAACATCAGGTTTCAGTCCACATATCCTAGAGTTTCTCCAGGTAGTGTGGAACATAGGTCAGGGGTTACAGTATTTTACCTGGTTCTCTGGAGTTCCTAAGGGTAAAAACCCTAAATTGGTAGACTTCATTCCTCAACTCCTAAGGCAGCCTCTGCCCATGAAGCCTTAGCAGGAAGGGCTATCCACACCTCTAAATTGGGGGAAGACAGCAGGCATGTTTCTCCTTACTAGTGGTCTTTCCTAAGCAGCCAGAAAACACCAATCATCCCTGCACACATCCCAGTCCAACACTTAGAGCAACACAGTAGTAAGTTCATTTATTATAAAAAATAAATGATGAGGAAATAAAGGTGCTTCACTTCTGGAAATACAAGTGTTATTGCAAGGTGATGGTACTGGGTGCATCTCTATGACCCTGCTGTGTCCGGAAAGGCGCTAGTGTATTGGCAACTGGTGCAGCACATATCAGTCTGAGAGTGAGACACCTCACTGTACAACAGGATGGCAAGGACACCTGCTCCCACAGCACCACCTCCTTCCAGCAAGCAGCACAACTCTAGGTGCAAGCAGGCCTCCGGAGACTCCCACGCCAGATGGTTTGCAACTTTGGATTGACAGGTGGGGTCCAAACTCCATGTGAGAGACAAGACTGATGCCCACTTGATGCCCCTGCTCCCATCTCTTCCTTCTGCTCTGCCAATAGTTCCCTCTGACCCAGTCTGATCCATGGCCAAACAAAACAAAACAATGACCTATCAGTACCCATGCCCATCGGTGGACCCTAGATCCCATTAGAATGCAACATACTACCCAATCCCTTAGAGCAGCTATGCTGGTTGGGGCCACAATGGGCATGGTGGCTCTGGCTCATTGGCAGCACTCGGACAGGTGCCTGAGGAATGCCTCGCCTTGCTCATCACTGAAGCACCACAGGCAGTGAGGGCACTGAAGGTCACCCTGACCTCTATGGGCGATGCAGATATGCCCACCCTCTGCAGGAAGTTCCACCTGTGGGGACCCAGGCCCAGGCCTCCAGCCACCAGGTGCCACATGCTCCAGTGCATCCATCTCTAAGTACTTGGCAGTTTTGTTCCCCGTATGAATCCGACAGGGTCCTGGCTCCCGGGAGTCCTGCTGAGAAGTCAAATGTCAGTTTACTATGCGCTATGCTAGAAGTCACAAAGCCTGACCCTAAGTTCTAACAACTAGAGACAGTATCTGTTGCAGAGTAGAATTTAAATCCCATTGCCTTGCTTCTTGCTATATACCACAGTGCTTCACTTCCGAACATCAGGTCTCAGTCCACATACCGCAAGAGTTTCTCCAAGTAGTGTGGAACAAAGATCAAGGATCAAGGTATTTTACTTGGCTCTCTGGAGTTTCTAAAGAAAGCTTAAACTGAAAGACCTCGTTCCTCAAATCCTAATGCTTCTTGCTGTCTAGATAAAGGAACTGAGTGACCAACTGAAGAGATCCTATAGGTACTTGCTCATTTCATGAAAGGACAGGCCTGAATGGAGTTTTCTCCCCATCCATGAACTGGAAGGTCTGATTGGAGCCCTCAGCCTTAGGATAGTCACTGAAGGAAGTAACCCTGCTGCCATGCCCCACTACCACCAGAGTGAGAGAAAGCTGGAGGGAGTCCAGGCATCAGGGCATTAGCCAGGGAGCAGGCAAACTAAGTCCCACTGTACCTCAATGTCATTTGAGGTGCTAGACACTCAAAAGACCTACAGTGGCAGCCATGAGTGCACCCTTGACATGGCCTGGCACATGTGCTCTAAGCAAATGCCACAAAGCACTGTGGGCAGTAGTGCCCATTGCTACTGGTCTTGGTGCTTTGCTTTACATTGAATGTGGATTTTTTTCAGAGAGACAATGTCTGTCTTAGCACTCATACTTCAGCACCGCTGTCATGTGGTTGTCCCCCTTGGGTGGAGCAACAGTGGGTGCTTGAGGGGCCACAACTAATGCAAAAGCCCTGGTCCCCACCAGAAATCTAGCCCTTGGGGCTGATCAGGAATCCCTTAGAGAACTTGGTTTGGCAGGCCTAGAACTGGTATGGTCACTCCTGTGGCACATCCCTGAAAGGCTGCCTGAGAGGCCATCACGACTGCACCTTTAGTGACCTCGCAATCTAAAAGCACAAAGGAGCCAGTGAACCCCCAATCATGTTAGAAAATATCCCCATTCCTGCCCATGGGACATAGAGGATTCTGTCCTACGCCTGCAGTCCTGGTGCTCCAGAATAGCCACCTATGGCCACAGCACCCTGAACAAGCCTGATCTAGAACGGGACAGGAAACACCCACACTCCATTATATGATGCCAAAAGGACACAAAGGCTCTGGGGAAGGTCCTCTGACTGCTGAACCCCTCTGACACCACCCTGTTGGCCGGACTTAGGGAGGGGCACAGGTTTCCAACAAAATCCCTCCATTCGTTAGAACTGGTGCCTGTATCCAGCCCCCTGTTGTGAATTTAGCTCAAGGGAACTACCAGGACCCTGTGCCTTGGTGCAGAAGAAGGGAGGCAGAGGCTGATGAGGTCCGGCAGCTGTTCATAACAGAACAGTGTGGGCGGCCTTCACAGATCCTCAGTTCCTCTCACATCTTATTGGGAAGGGCAATTTCAAAGTCACTTCTGCCTTCTCAGCTTTCTGATTTCCAGAGGCTCCTCTCTTATCCAAGCTATGTCAGAGCAGGAAGTTCTCTGAGGGGAGCCTGGTGTTTATCCCAGAACAGAAGATGCATGGACACTAAGTGGCCAAAGTAACAAACCTTCCCTGAATCTATCAGAGCATGAGTCTATCCAGGGAGGAGAGGTAAAAGGCACGCATGTCCAGCTTTCATCCTGAGAGACTTCCACTGACAACATACACCAGCACTAAAAAACAGAGGTGGCAGGCAACAGGCCCACTGGCTATCCTGGAGGACCTACCTCTTTAGTGCTTGGGGCCTGGGTCACACCTCTGCAACATAGTAACTAGGGTCTCTGCCTCACAAGAGGACAGACACTTACAGAACTGCCCATAAAGCACCTGGGGCCTGGGATATACTTACACTGCATGGCAACAATAAGCAGGGAGACAGGAAAGGCCCTGAAGACAACAAGCCTTTACCAACACAGGCCACCATGCCAACCTCCACGGCTAAATACAGCACACAGAGCAGTTTTCTATGGTCATACCCTAGGCCCAGGAGAGGTTGCTCTGCCCAGAGCTGGGAAGGGCCCATCACTAACAGTATTGTCAGCCAATACATCTTTGCAGACAGAGGTTCAAAATTCATAATAAAAAATACTAATTCTAGCTGGGCAGTGGTGGTGCATGCCTTTAATCCCAGCACTCGGGAGGCAGAGGCAGGCGGATCTCTGAGTTCGAGGCCAGCCTGGTCTACAGAGCAAGATCCAGGACAGGCACAAAGCTACATAGAGAAACCCTGTCTCAAAAAACCAAAAAAAAAAAAAAAAAAAAACTAATTATAATGGGAGGAGAAATTCTCTTGTGCTCTTACCTGTCTCTGGGATGCTTGGGACATCAAAGACATGACCTTTTCTTCCAGTTCTTGAATCCTACTATGAGCTCGTTCTCGATCTGCCCTTTCTGATTTGAAGTCATCCTTGTAAGCAAGAATCTGAGAAAAGACAGAATGTTCATTTCTATTCAAGGAAGGAAAAAACCCTTAACTGGCTTCTCCCACTACTCCATGACTGTATCCCACCCACAGCCACCAAGCCTTCAGCCTAGGCTGTCCCAAGACTGGGGCCACTGCCTGTGGTGTGGGCCAACATCCCTGCCAGTCCTGCCCAGAACCCGAGGACACCTGCTGCTCTAGCATCTGCACTCGTTCCAGCGCAGTGTCCCGGGCCATCTTCACAGCTGCCAGCTCCTGTTTGGCTTCTGCACAGTCGTTTATTTTCTCCTCCAACTGTCTGTTGAGCCTGGAAATCTCCTTCTTCATCAGCTCAGGCTCAAGAGGGACCTGCCGCCTCTTCAGCTGAGCATGTAACCCCTTCACATATTCGTCCCTACTGGCATCGTAACGCTGCCACTTGGCATTGAGGTCTTCTACCTGAAAAGACAGAACCAGAAGACATGTTTGCTCAAGCCAGCATGGAACTGGGATTATCAGCAATGATTTATGAAACTGCCTCCCTTTCCCTTTCCTTTGTATAGAGAGAGTTCTAAACCTACCGGGGAATCCTGATACACTAGAGTAACATCCATATTAAGGGTCTTAAACAGATATGAACTCAGTGTAATTTTCCTGCCTTAAAAACTACTTCCCAGCTAGGTGGTGGCGGCGCACGCCTTTAATCCAAGCACTCAGGAGGCAGAGCCAGGCGGATCTCTGTGAGTTCGAAGCCAGCCTGGGCTACAGAGCGAGATCCAGGACAGGCACCAAAACTACATGGAGAAACCCTGTCTCGAAAAAAAACGAAAAAAGAAAAGAAAAGAAAAAGCTTCATTTGCCATTTGTCAGGGTTAATATTCCTCTTCAATGTTAGATACTCACATGAGTCACCTTCTGTTTTAATAGTCGATTCTCTTCCTGTAACTTCTCAATAACACTCTTGCCAGAAGCATTCCTGCTTGTATGCCCTAGCTGCATGAGGAGGACAAAGAGAAATCATGTCACTGTGTGTGTATGACGTACAGAAAAGGAGAAGAAGTTAGAGCCAGAGGCTGAGGCCACAGACCGTCGCTGCAGCTGTGGCGTAGGAGGTGGTGACTCTTCACTTGAGGGAGAAGTAAAACATACAAAAAGGGACTTTGCAAATCCAGCTCCTCCTAGACCCACTCCCGACTGAGGGAGGCCAGGAGACAGCCTTGGCAGAGAGTCTCTAGGTGTGCCACTCTTGTCACTGTCCTTGTTCCTTCCTACCTACCACCATGAGCTGTTTGGATTTTAAGTATTCTGGACCTAAACATTCTATTGTCGTCAAGTCTAAAGCAATGAGCACACCAGCTGTAGCAAAATCTTCACAGTGCCAGCCAGGGCTTATCATCACAGGCAATGAGGAGGACAGGAACATAATTTTACTCTCTAACAGAGACAGACCACCCCCAGCATCCAGGAGGCTTTCCAGGTCCCAGATATGGGCCTGCACAAATCAATTTTACCTCCTCCAGAGTCAAGAGAGAAATCCTGCCTATAGACAAGCGAACTAATCTGGATGTGTGACAACCTAACTTTTGCTTCACACAGGGTCAGAATCAGGGGCACTCACTCACAGAAGCCACACCCCAAACTAACCCCTATTAGCAGTTAACTGACCCAACTGTAAAATCTCTTAAGACTTTTCTGGGGTATACTTTGTACCCCAGAAATTCCAGGCACTGAACAGTACAGAGGACTGTAAATCACTGACATTAGCTTTAAGAATTCCCCTTGAATGACAGGAAGTGCATGTCCTAACCTAGTCTGCTGGGAAGTCCCAGATGACTCAGCCAAGGCCAGGGCTGAGAAGTGATACTGACTGAAGAGACATGAGGTGCCTGTCTGTCACAATCCAGCACCCACCTCAGGCTGATCACGGTGTGAGGCTACTTCAAGATCCTCAAAGGGAATGTTACAGTGATACAAACTTGGACAAGAGCACCCACCACCTCCTACCCAGCAACAAATACAACTGTGTTCCTTCTTGGGTGATCTTTTTGTGAAATCCAGCTGAGATGGATGGTTCTTGACCAAGTTTCTCCACATGTTAGAGAAGCTGCTGGTAGTTGTATGTCTCCTTTCCTCAGAACACATATGGTCTCATGAACACCACTGTAGCCTCACAGAACTGCCTAGAAAGGGGTGTGACCTAGAGGCTCTGTGTGGAACAGTGTACATGAGATGTAGACTCAGCCTGGTCCACTGTTATAATCGGAATCAGAAATGTTCCCCAAGGCTCCTAGTTTGAAAGCTTGACCCCCAGGTGATGGTGCCATTTGTAGAGGCTACAGAAATTTTATGAAGTGTAACCCAGCAGTCAGAAGTAAGTCACTAAGGGCAGGCCTTTGAAGCTGATACCCCGCCCCTAGTTCCAGGGTCTCATTGTCTCTCTGTCTCTTTGTCTATCTCTGTCTCTCCATGTGCTTCCTGGACTGCCATGATGTGAGGATCCTCTGTCACAAGTTCCCATTACTATGAAGGTGGCCATGCCGTCCCCAGCATGTTGGACTGAAACCTTCCCTGAGCTTGTTTCTGTTAGTATTGTAGTAACAGAAAAGTCACAAATACACCCACTAGTAAATGAGGCAAGGTGTACCATAGGTACCTGTTTCTCTGTCAGCTCCACACACATCAGCACCACCTGGCAGTAGGAAATAAGGTACCATGCCAGGTACCTGGCCCATATGGAGTCTTGGTCCCATCTGCCACCTGCTATTCCTGTCCAGGAGCCCTCTGGTTTGCGAGATGCACCTCTTCCCCATGACTACCTCATGGATGCCAGAACCTTGGTCATGCTTCTCTGCTCCACCAAACTGGCCTGGCCTGGAGGTACAGAGGGCTCTTCATGGGTCCCTACTGTAACATGGCCCTTCTGGCTTCTGGTTCCTCTGTCACCAGCTGCTGTCCACCTCACACAGTGTCTACATGGGGTTCACAGTTTTGAGGCACGAAGATGTTCATTGTCATGTGATAATGAAGAAGCTGTAGCCCTGAGGGTGGCAGGTCTCCTAGCTTATGGCAGGCCATGTTGCTGGCAACAGAAGTTCTGGCTCTTCACGAGGCTTGTGGTTGGATCAACTCTTACCACTCAGATACATGGAGTCTGCCAAAGGCTGGCACTCGTGGATCTCCCAGCAGCTTTAGGCCTGGACTCTGCAAATGTGGCACGTGGAGGCATTGCTCCTCCTTAGCAGTATCACCTAGATCTGCCTCAGTTTCTTTGTTTGTCGAATATACATGTGACAACACTTCCTGCGGGCAGCCCCTCTACCCCCAACTCTTCCTTCCTATCCTCAGCGGCAGAAAAGACCAAAGTGCCATCCCCACTTGTGTGCAGGATCAGCTGGAGACAATGTTGGGAGCTGGGGAGGCAGGCCATTCAGCTTCCTGTCACATGCTCCATCAGATCTCCCTGGAGAAGCAAGCTTATCTCCTCGATGAGAGCAGAACGGGTTCTGTGGCACCCTAGACCTCAGTGGTTGCACAGGAGTCTTAGAGAATGACAGGCAATGACTCTTGCCCATCAGTCCTCACCTGATTTAGTTATGCTGCGTACCTCATCAGGGCTTTCCGCCCCACTGTCTCCCTGTGCATGCTGTCGTTCATCCAGACATTTGGCCAGATGCTGGCACATGTGGGCAGTGGCAGCCAATGTCCTGCGTAGTTGGTGGGTCTCATCAGCCAAGGAGCGGCACAGAATGTCGCTGGCAGCCCTGGCTTGTTCCTTCTCTGCCACACTTTTCCGAAGCAAGATGACTTCCTTCTCTTGCTCATGCTGAGGCTGACTCATCAGCTGCTGCATCTCTCTCTCTTTTTCTTCGAGCCGCTCAGTAAGTCTCTCAACTTCCTAAACAGAAAATAATTTCAAAGCACAGTTTAGATGGGTATGGTGACACATGCCTATAATCCCAGCAGTGGGGAGGCTGAGGCAGGAGGATCAAGAATTTGAGGCCAGCCAGAGAGACCCTAACTAAAAACGGAAAGGAAGACAGGCAGGTTCAATAGTTGGGAAAATTAAAGCACAGCTTGATTAAATGAAACAATGTTAAAAAGCAAATGTTCAAAACCAAGTACTGCAATCCCAGCACTTAGGAAGTAAAGGTAGGAGAACAAGAAGTTCAAGCCATCCTCTACTACATAGCAACTTTGAGGCCAGTCTGGACTACATGGCGGGGGGTGGGGTGGGGGGAATGTGATAAAACAAAGGACAATCTAGCAAGGATAATGTATCCCTAGATAACACTCACCCTGAAGGCAGGCTTTCGAGATAATAATACAGTTAACTGCTGTGGGAGATTACTTTAACTATGTAAAGATGTGTCACATTTGTTGATGTTGCATTTGTTTAACGATGTAAAGATATATTGCCTAAGGCACCTGATTGGTCTAATTAAAAGGTGAACGGCCAATCGATAGACAGTAGAGAGATAGGCAGGGCTGATGGGCAGAGAGAGTAAGTAGAAGGAGGATCTAGGCTCAAGAGAGAAGAGAAGGAGAAGAGAGAAAGAGAGAGAAAGAGGGGGAGACACCTGGGGCCAGCCAGCCAAGCAGCTGCCAGCCAGCAAGACACAGAGTAAGACATACAGAATGGGAGAAAGGTAAAAAGCCCTGAGACAAAATGTAGATGAAGAGAAACAGGTTAATTTAAGTTATAAGAGCTAGCATATATGTGTGTGTGTGTGTGTGTGTGTGTGTGTGTGTGTGTGTAAATCCAAGCATTCATAACTAATAATAAGTGCCCGTGTCACGATCTGAGAGCTGGTTGGTGGCCAAAAAGAAAGCCTGCTACAATTAATTTTGGAGTTTTTTAATCTTATAATACTTCAAACTTCATTTAAAATTAGTAACAGCCAGGTGTGGCAGTACACACCTTTAATCCCAACACTTGAGAAGCAGAGTCAAGTAGCTATCTGTGAGTCTGAGGCTAGCCTGGTCTACTTAAAGAGTTCCAGACCAACCAGGGCTACATAGTGAGATCCTGTCTCAAAACAACAACAAAAATTAATAGAAATAGAATATTTGTAGCTAGGTGATGGTGGCGCATGCCTTTAATCCCAGTATTCGGAAGGCAGAGGCAGGTGGATCTCTAAGAGTTCTATAGAGTGAGCTCCAGGACAGCCAAGGCTACAATGAGAAACCCTGTCTCGAAAAACCAAAAAGAAAAAAAGGAACAGGAAAAGAGAGTATTTCTAGATATCATTAGTTCAAGTGAGGTCATACTGAATTAGGATTATCCCTAATCTAACCACGCTGTCCATCTAAGAAGGAACTTTAGACAGATGTACTCAGACGAGAAGGCCATGTGAAAACAAAGACTGGGGTGTAGCACCTATAAGGCACAGAACACTAAGGACCTGCAGCCACCACCAGAAGCAGGAGAAGTAAAGAAGACCTTTCCCCAGAATCTTCAGAGCAGACACCTTGATCCGGTGCTTCTGACCTCTAGGACTGTGAAAATATTACATTTCTGTTGCTTCAAGTTCACCATTTGTGGTACTTTGTTTAGAAAACTAATACAGCCTGAAATCCTAATTACTACTTTACAAAAAAGGGTGGGGAAGCTGGAGGTAATAGCTCATGTCTGCAAATCCTAGCACTTGGGAAGCTGAGGCAGGAGGACTGCCAAGAGTTTAAGCCAGCCTGTTCTACATAATGACTTCCAGGCCAGCCTAAAATGCTGTGGGATGGTATGTTTGTCAAGTGTGTTGCTAATTAGTCAATAAATAAAACACTGATTGGCCATTGGCTAGGCAGGAAGTGTAGGCGGGACAAGGAGGAGAATAAAGCTGGGAAGTGGAAGGCTGAGTCAGAGAGACACTGCCAGCCGCCATGATGAGAAACAGCATGTGAAGATGCCGGTAAGCCACGAGCCACGTGGCAAGGTATAGATTAATGGAAATGGATTAATTTAAGCTGTAAGAACAGTTAGCAAGAAGCCTGCCACAGCCATACAGTTTGTAACCAATATAAGTCTCTGTGTTTACTTGGTTGGGTCTGATGGCTGTGGGACTGGCAGGTGATAGAGATTTGTCCTGACTGTGGGCCAGGCAGGAAAACTCTAGCTACACTAAAATAATTATCATTATTTTGGTTTTTTCACACATGGTCTCTCTCTGTTGCTCAGGCTAGCCTCAACTCACTGCAGTCTTCCTGCCTCGGGCTTCCAGTATACTGGGACTGCAGGTCCTTAAGTGGCAATTTTGTTTTACTTTGTTTGGTTTAAGACTTTTTCTGGGGCTGGAGAGATGGCTCAGCGGTTAAGAGTATTGACTGATGTTCCAGAGGACCCTGGTTCAATTCCCGCACCCATATGGCCCCTCACGATGGTCTGTAACTCCAGTTCCAGGAAATCTGACACCCTCTTCTGGCCTTTGCAGATACCAGGCATGCACGTGGTGCACAGACATCCATGCAGACAAAACACCCATACATATAAATAATTTAAAAACAAAAAACTATCTCTAGTTTGCTCAGCAGACTGGAGTTGAATCCAGAGCCCAAGCTCAGCCTCCTGAGTGATAGGGCTACTTGCACATACCAAGTAGTGCAAAGTGCAAGGCCAAGATGATCATTTTTAACTACCTGGCCTTTGTGCTTTCCCATTTTCAAAGAATCCTCAAACATAAACAGTACATGGTGGAGGTGAAACAGTCTCCACCAGTCCACTCTACAGATGAAGAAACAGATTCACACAAGCCAGGGATAAGCCTAAGCCACTCCTAGCAGGAGGTAGTAAAGGATGCAGCCTCTATCTTATATCCCTAGGACCTTGTCACCACAATAAATGAGACACCAACCATGGTATAAAGACAAACTTGAGTTATTACTCTCTCTTTATAATTTTATTATGATTGTGCATGTATGTGTGTATGGTGTGCGTGAGTGCATACGTGCATACGTGCGTGCGTGGCACACATGTAGAACTCAGAGGACAACTTTCAGGAGCTAGCTCCTTCCCACCACCTTGAGCTCCATCCAGGGCTCAAACAGGTTGCCAGGTGTGCACTGAGCCATCTCACCAGCCCCTGGATTTTTTAAATCATAAAAACATGTGTACTATTTGGTATTTTTTTGTTTGTTGATTGTTTTGAGACAAAGTCTTTTACTCTATACCAGTGGTCCTCAACCTTCCTAATGCTGAGACCCTTTAATACAGTTCCTCATGCTGTGGTGACCCCCAACCATAAAATTATTTTCACTGCTACTTCAGAACTATAATTTTGCTACTATTATGAATCGCAATGTAAATATCTTTGGAGACAGGGGTTTGCCAAAGGGGTTGTGACCCACAGGTTGAGAACCGCTGCTCTATACAGTGTAGCAAAACAGGCAGAGAAAAATTGGAAGGAAAGGAAGCCAGTTTCCAGGGTAACAGGATGCAGCTGTATAGTCACAGGCCATGTGGTGAATAGCACCATTAACCCGAAAATCTTATCTGGAAGAAGTCTCAGGCCTCAAGTTACAGATGGGATAAAGTCTCAAGTCCCACTCCAGATGCTATGAGGACAAGCTACAGCCTCATCCAGACACACTGGCTTTTCTCAGTTCCTCCACACCCCTACCCTTCAGTTTTCTCTGCGGAAGCCCTCAGTGCCTTCAGGTCTAGTGTCCCTGTAGAGATAGTTGATGTGGCCATCAATGAAAGCAATCTAACACACCAAGTGCTTTCTACTGTAGGTGGTTTTTTGTTTGTTTGTTTAGACAGGGTCTCAGTATGTAGACCAGCCTGGCCTAGAACTCACAGAGGTCCCCCTGCCTCGGCCTTTCCAGTGCTGGGGATAAACGTCATACACTTTAATGTCCAGCTGCTTCTGTGGTTTTACACCTGCCTTGTTACTTCAATGAACGAAGGGCTTGGGGAGGGGGGTGATAGAGGTAATAAACCTCTGTTCTCTCACAATCCATGATTGAAACACCCTCCCCTCACAAAACTGACTGATGGGTAAGCAAAAACATTCACTTTCATGAACTACTAAGTCATCAAAACGATCCTTAAAAATTAAAAATTACAGGGGCTGGAGAAATGGCTCCGAAGTTAAGAGCACATGCTGCTCTTACAGAAGACGAGTTCCGTTCCCAGCATCCATGTGGTGTAGCCGACAACAGCCTGTAACTCCAGCTCCAGAGAATCTGAACCCTATTCTGGACTTCACCAACACTGACACTCACAGGACACACAAACACATACATATCTTAAAAATAAAAATATTATCAGGCTAGAGAGATGGCTCAGTGGTTAAGAGCACTCGCTGCTCTTGCACAGGACCCAGGTTTAGTTCCCAGCACACACATCAGATAGCTCACAACCATGTGTAACTCCAGCTCCATGGGATCTGATGCCCTCTTGACTCTGTGGGCACCATGCAGATATATGGTACACATACATGTATACAGACACTCACACATACATGCAATAAATCTTTTAAAGAAAAAATTAAAATCTTTTTTTAAAAATTAAAAATTACAGACACATTCCTTGTATGTACACTCCCTTGGCCAACTTGGGATCCTGACAAGGCCATTACCAGATGTGGCTCCTTGACCTCGTATCACCAGAAACATTTTCTACTCCTCTTGGCCCTCTTCAAATCACCCTCAACAAATATATGCTGTTCATCTTTAGCTTAACCTTTTCTATTAATTTTGTATTCACAGAAAAGTCATTAATATCTTGCTCCTGTGTGTGTGTGTGTGTGTGTGTGTGTGTGTGTGTGTGTGTGTGTATGTATTTGAGATTGCCTTGCTACGTAGCTCAGGATGTCTCAAATTCAGCTCCTGCCTCAGCATACTAAGTGTTGGGGTCAAATGGGCCACCACACTAGCTCAGAACCAATAATATTCTTAGCT